CAGGCTGGTGGTTCAGGCAGAGCATGGAATTGGTTTCTTGTCCTGCAAGGACACTCCTCCCCTAGTCCCCAGCAGCCAGGGAGACCCTAGAGAATCACAGCAACAGGACCCTAGGACAGCTGCAGAGAGGGGGAAAGCATCAGGATGGGGGGCAATGGAAGCCCAGAGCTGCTGGCAGGTGATGAGGAGCAAGGCTGCCCCACCTAAAGGAGGGGGCCAGCCTACCAGTGACTGACAGAGCAAGGCAGCAAGCTGGCCAGCACGTTCCTGCTCACTCCCCTTGCACAGGAGTGTAACAGCACCATTAGGTTCCAGGGTGAACATGCAAGGCGCAGGCATCTCCATCAGGTATCACATGCACCCCTCCCTCATTGTAGTAGACACCAGTAGGGACTGGGGAACAGCCTGGCACACAAGAGCTGACCCCAGGGGCAAACCCCCAGCTGTGCATTCCACCTCTCCCGTCACTGTTGCTCCAGACCCCTGGTCTCCATCTCGCACCAGACCCCCAAGCCCCATCAGATGCCTGTTGCCACCCCAGCTGCTGCAACCATGCACTCATCTAGTGAGTGGAGCAGAGAGGACACCTCCATACCTCCCTCCCATGCCCAGGAGGTCTCCTAAAGCCACAGCCGTTAGCTCACCTCACTCACTTTCCACCCACTCTCCCAGCTCCCCATTCAGGCACTGTGAGACCATCACTGTGGCGCTACTTCACAATCAGGGCAGCTAAGATCTGAAACTAACTTCCAGGAGAAGTGGTGCTGGCTCCTACCCTGGGGGTCTTTAAGAGGAGGCTGGATGAACACCTTGCTGGGGTTGTTTGACCCCAGTACTTTTTCCTGCCATGGAAGGGGGTCAGACTTGATGATCTGTTCAGGTCCCTTTCGACCCTACAAACTATGAAACTGCACCCAGACAGACCCACGCCATTAGCCCTCGCACCCGACAGGCTGGGAAGCCCCAGAGTGCTTGATGCTGCTCGGAGAACTGCCACAACACTAGCAGCCTGGAGAAGTGACAGAGGCATGCCAGGCCAGGGACCTGCTGCCCAATTCAGGACAGGGGACATCCTAGGGCAGAAAGGACGCAGCTTGGATGGCATTTGCAGTGACCAGAATTGACGGTTTCATATTGCTGCCCACATGGAACCAGCAATCTGCTCGGGCACTGGGGCAAGCGCCCGTCCCCAGCTGTCCTTGACCTTGCAAAGCACAGAGGAATCTCATGCGGCCTCTATGGGGAAGCTCTGAACAAGTAGCATCCAAGTGGCTGTCCCTTAAGAGCTGGTCAAGCAAGGCGATGCATTTTTAGGCCAAGAGCACAGGGTATAGCAAGTGCAGACAAGGGGTTGGAGGGGATGGAGCACCTTGTCACAACCCCTCCCAGCCCTAGAGCAACCTCAGCCCTGCAACTGCGCTAGACAATGCCTTGCATCCAGCTACATCCCAGCGGGCCCGGAACGAGAGCACAGCATGACGGAGCATGCTGGAGGAAAACACATAGCTGGGCTGGTCCTGCTCCAAGCAGGTCAGACCAGAGGACCTCCTGAAGTCCCTTTCAACCCTCATTCTCTAGGACCTCTAAGCAAGTCAGGAGCCAAGGCAGCCTGCGGCCAAGCAAAGCCAGGGTTTCCTTAAAGATCCTCCACCATTAACAACACTAGGGCACCTGGGAACACCAAGGCAAGCAGTTGCCCGTTGACTGCAGAACAGGAAGAGCCAGGTTTGATGAGCTCCAACCTCCCACTGCCATGCTAAGACTTATTATCTGGCCCAGGATAGAAAAGTCACAGGAAACAAAGGTTGGAAGGGACCTCAGGTCACATCTAGCCCAACCCCTGCTCAAAAGGAGGACCAGCCCTGACTACACCATCCCAGCCAAGGCTTTGTCTAGCCGGGTCTTCAAAACCCGGCTAGACAAATTGATTTGTCTAGATAATGATTTCTTTGCCTCCGTCTTCCTCAGTAAGGACCAGAACTGCCACCTCCCTGCTAGGCCCCCCATCAGGCCCCGAGGGAGGCACACCTGAGCCCAGGATAAGTGAGGATCTAGTTAGGGAGCTGCTGGAGGTGCTGGACATTTTTAAGTCAGCCGGTGCGGATAATCTCCACCCTAGAGTTCTAAAGGAACTGGCCGGGGTCATTGCGAGTCCCCTGGCGCAGCTTTATGAGCACTCGTGGTGCTCTGGAGAGGTGCCGGAGGACTGGAAGAGAGCCAACGTGGTTCCCATCTTCAAAAAGGGGAGGAAGGAGGACCCGGGAAACTATAGGCCAGTCAGTCTTACCTCGATCCTGGGCAAGCTGTTCGAGAAAATTATTCTGGCATACATCCAGGAGGGGCCAGCAGGGAAGTGCATGCTCAGGGGCAACCAGCATGGGTTCATCAGCAGCAGGTCATGTCAGACCAACCTGGTGGCCTTCTATGATCAGGTCACTAAATCATTGGATGCAGGGATAGCAGTGGATATAGTCTTCCAGGACTTCCGGAAGGCTTTCGACACTGTCTCTCACCCCGTTCTCATTAGGAAACTGGGGGACTGTGGCGTAGACACCCACACAGTCCAATGGGTCGCCAACTGGCTAGAGAGCCGCACCCAGAGGGTGGTAGTGGATGGGTCCTTCTCGGCCTGGAAGGACGTGGGCAGTGGGGTCCAGCAGGGCTCGGTCCTCGGCCCCGCCCTGTTCAACATCTTCATCAGTGATTTGGATGAGGGGGTGCAAAGCACCCTGTTCAAATTTGCTGATGACACCAAGATGTGGGGGGATGTGGGCACACTAGAAGGGAGCAACAGGCTACAGTCGGACCTTGACAGGTTACAAGGATGGGCGGAGGAGAACAGGATGGGGTTCAACACAGACAAGTGCAAGGTGATGCACCTGGGGAGGAACAACCGGCACCATACCTACAGGCTGGGGAACTCCCCTCTTGTCAGCACGGAGGTGGAAAAGGAGCTTGGAGTCATTATTGACTCCAAGAT